ACCGGCTCATCAGCTTTCTCTGACCGGGGCTCTTAATGTTGGTCAGATACGGGGCCAGTTCATAACCAGGTTTAATCTGGTTGAAGCACGCTAACTTTTTTATTTGTTGTACTTTATTTTGCCAATTGAGTTTATAATCCTCCTGGGTAATCTTTTCTATTTCTTTAGTCTTTATATGTTGGGACAGGGTTTGTGAATTTAGTTGGTGTTTTTCCACCAGATAGTGCATGGGGTCGCTGGCCGGATGTGCATTTCTATATATGAGGGCTTGCTGATGGTAGCTCTCTGGGCTGGAGTCTGACAGATGGAGCCAGAACTTCCCTGCTCTCTTCTGGATTTCTGAGAGCAGAGGGAACCTGCCTAGTTCTGCTCTGCAACCAAGGCTAGGTGTGCTTCTGTGAACTCCGAGGATGTTTTTGCAAAACTCCAGATGAAAGATTTCAACTGGAGTTTTTTCCCAAGATTCATAGTTTAATTTAAATGTGGGTCCCCAGAGTTCACAGCCATACAGCAGGACTGGCTTTACAATGGAGTCAAATATTTTCAGCCACAGTTTTATGGGTGGGTTAAACTTAAAAAGGTTTTTTTAATACAATAAAAAGCCGTGCGTGCCTTAGCGGTCAAGTCTTTTAGAGCTTGACTGAAGTGTCCAGAAGCTGTGATTGTCAAACCCAAATAACTATAAGAGGTGACGTGGTCAAGTATTGTTCCTCTGATTTTAAAAGTGTGTCTTTTTTTATCAGCCAGACGAGGTTTTTTACAGAAGATCATGATCTTGGACTTCTGCATGTTAATGGGCAATGCCCAGTCTGTGCTGAACTCCTCCAAGATGGAGAGACTGTGGTGAAGACCCTCTTCTTCTTCTCTCTCTCTTTCTCTCTCTTTCTCTCTTTCACTCTTTCTCTCTCTCTCTCTTTCTCTCTCTCCTCAAATGTGGAAACACTAATTTCTTTACTGATCACTAAACGATCACTGCTTTAGTCTAGTATAGGCCAGAGGTGATGGGACTCTGGGCTGTTCTGGTTTTTCACTCATCCACACTCGCTACACTTTTGTACCTGCCCCATTTTCTCCTTTTCTAGATCTTAAATTCCTCTAAAAATTGAATTCTTCTGAGCCTAGCACTGTAAAGTGTATGATGACCAGCTCTGCACCCACATGACGCTTTTCCAGGCAATGGACACGTCTCTATGTCCCTTGGTCATAAGGGAGAGTTTGGTTGAGCTTGTGTACCTATAGATATTCTTAACAAGAACAGCAGTAGTTTGCTACACTGGCCAGAACAGTATTGAGCCACGCGTTGGAGTCTTGTTAACTCCTAATTGACCAGACATTAGATGATCATGAGCTGGTTTTAATACTGCAGTTCAAAAAGCAGAAGAAAGCACATTTTGAAATCTAGGATGTAGACCTTCACACGCGTGTGTCATCGAATTCTATTTGCACATCAAAAAGCCGTTGTCCAAATGACAGCACACTTATACCCCGTCTAAATGACTGTTGTTAGGCACTTATGCAAGTTGACAGAGAAGTCTGCCGTCAGAGCAGCTGCGAGTTCAGTCTGGCTCATTTTATCCATCAGAACTTCAGCACCACTATCACTGTCCACCTTGACAGAAGTATCCACAGACAGCTCAGTAGGATCTGCACACAGAAAAACCGAATCAGACAAATCAACAACCTTTTCAGACATGTGTGATTGAGGATGTGTTACAGCACAAACATGTCAGGATATTCCCATCACACACAGGAACCTTAGTCACAATTAGAGAGGGAAAAGCTTTACCTCCTGCTCAATCTTTACAGGCTACATCATCATCATCATCCACCTTCACCAGACCAGTTACCAAATCCAAGTCTAAATACACAGAATGAATTGCAAGTTTAACACAAGCTAATTCTATACTGTGGACAAGAACATCCATCCTGGTGGTTATTTTAGTCCAGAGGGTCTGAACTCCCCTCCTAATAAAACTGTCCTGAACCGGTGTCACAGAGAACAGAAACTGTTCATTTAGTCAGAAAAGGTTGAAAACAGGGCTACTTCAAATTAGTTTCAATCTTACCTTTGGGTTGTAGTACAGCGTGGGCTACCTTCTTCATCTTTCATGCAGTTTTCTGTTTTCACATCTCGCAGACAGCTTGTAAGATGATCAGCTTCAAGACAGCAGAAACACGTGGGCTTTGAACCATTCTCTGGACTTTTAAGAACAGTTTTCATGCACGCCTCCGACTTCTGAACATTCACAAGTGCAGGGGATTTAGGTGCTCTACATTCTGACGTGTCGGCCGGCACATAACAAAATCCTTTTCATGGGTCAACACATACTCATCAGCCATGACTGCGGTACTTTTTAAGGCTCATTAAGGTGCACTACAACATTGTCTGGTAGACCGTTTTTAAAATCCTAAAGCAGAACTAGTTCTTGCAAACTTTCAAATGTGGTAACTTTTGTCGCAGCACACAATTTCTCTAACAGACGTTTCTCGCAAACTCAAGGACAGTTTGTTTTTGGGCTTTAGTATAATCCCAAAATGTCTGCCTATAAGCTTCAGGCACGAGCTCATGTGCTCAGGGTACTGCAGTGTTTACTAACCGACCAGATTACTGTGAAGCACAAGTGTCCACATATCTTTTGGCCATCTTCATATTTCAGCCACACGCTCAAAAGTGGTAAAATAAGCATCGGCCTCCATTTCTCCTAATCTGCAACAGTTTAGGGAAAGTACAACATAACGAGTTCTCATAATGAAACAAAAGCAAGCTGGGAGAGAGGAGACTCCATGAGCACGCGTACAGCCAGGTTTAAATGGACTCCACAAACACTTCAGCAAGTTCCCATGTGTCGACACCAGATTCAGCGCAGGTGTGCGCTCCTGATGAGACCTGTTGGACAGACAGAAAAGAACCACAACAAAAGAAACGCAGACAAAAACTCAAAGAAAACTCTTCTTAATCAAATAGCTTTTCTTAAAATGAATTCTTACAAACACAGTGATGATGCTGAAGGTGTTGCTGATGGTGTGTGATGCTGATGACTGACTCCTGGTGTGTTTGTTGTCCTGCAGACGCAGTTCAAGGCCTCCCGGTTTGCCGTTTCTCCAGACCTCACACACATGCTGCTGGCATATGATGTCAGAAAGGTCAAACAAGCTTCATTAAAAAAAAAAGTAAATGTAATACTATATCAAAATCAATCTGATCAAGACATGTTGGCCTGTGTTGTTTTAGGTGTATCGATTCTCCTTCCTGGCATCTTATTTGATCTACAACTTGCAGACAAGGTACAGTGTGTTTCAGATCAGACACGCCATGCACATCAGAAAGTGATGATAATGTGTGTGTGTGTGTGTGTGTGTGTGTGTGTGTGTGTGTGTGTGTGTGTGTGTGTGTGTGTAGGGTGTGTCGGCGCTGGCAGCAGCTGGTGAAGGATCAGAGACTGTGGCGTTGTGTGGATCTGTCCTCATTGAAGAGAGTGAGTTCTGGTGCACACAGATCCTCTCATTCACAGGGCAAATGTGTGTTTAATGACCATTTTTAATGTTATTATCATGTTAATCTGGTCCAGCTGCTCCAGTTGTTCATCTGTAATATCAGATGTCCATTATTTTACTCGGACACTTGTGAATTGGGGATAAAACGTTGCAGTTTCTTATTATTTTGTGGCATCTTTGATCAGATATTAATCTGGCTCATTTCTTCATGAATAAATATGCATGGATATGTGTGTTTGTGTGTGTGAAGTTTGTCTGTGTTATTGTGTGTGTCTGTGTGTGTGTTAATGTTCATGTATATTAATTCATGCATGTGTGTGTAAGTGGTTTACTTATTATTGGGTGTGTGTATATGCATGTTTGTGTATGTGTGTGCTTATACACTCACCGGCCACTTTATTAGGTATACCAGTCCAACTGCTTAACTCAGATGTCTAATCAGCCAATCACATGCCAGCAGCTCACTGCATTGGCATCATGGATGTGCAGCCGACAAATCTGCTGCAACTGTGTGATGCTATCATGACAATATGGAGCAAAATCTCTGAGGAATATT